GGTCAAGATCCCATCATCACATATTTTATTGATGTCTCATCTTAGACAGATGTTAAAAGGTTTTAAACATAAATTGGTGTATAATTGTATTTTTTCAATGTCTTCCTATTATTGCGATTAAAGGTTTTTGCATCTAAACCAGGCCTATTGTAAAAGGAAAAATCAGTCAATGGATTTTTGGATTTTACATTGTAGCACTTACTGGTACAATAGTGATGATACCGGTCCCAGGCAACTGCAGCAGAAGAACTAATGCTTGCCAGTGCTGTCACAAAGCCCTGAAATCCATGAATCTGACAACCATCAGAACCATAGGGCCAGTACCTGCCGGCAAATACAGAAATAATTCAAAATACAATAGCAATAGGTGAGGCATATTTGACAACTGAAATAATTAGGAAAAAATAAAATACATAATTGTTTTCCTGTTTGAAATTTGTAAATGCTATTAATAGCACGGTCACCATTAGACAGGCTATAGTTGCCAGTACTTACTACACAGTGTTGTCTGATATAATTTATTTTTTCCCTGTATTGAAAATAGACCCCCATCTATTGTTGTGGTGTTGGTGAATGGCGACTTTGTTAGCAAACAATCTACATATCATTCAATTATACAGCATCAAAAGATATATGCACTGAGGGCGTATAACTTGTCAATATATTTATTAAGCCCATTTAGTAAAATTCATACAAAAATGGAAAGCAGTAACAAAAGCTTTATAAAGTGAAAGGAAATGCAGTAGAACCTCATTGAATGGTAATGTGCGCACAAACATCATAGTCACAATCAAAGATTTTTTAGGGCTACATTTTAATCTCAGCCTTCATCACTCCTGTTTTTTTGTGGATGTACAACTGCAGGCAGAGTTGAAATCACTGGGTGACTGCACTTTCTATGTGCTCAGATGATCCCTAACACCATGGTACATGAGCTGTGCTACTAGATGTTTCTAAATCCATATTTAAATACTCAAATAGCAGTGGTCTGTCTTGGAGATACGAAATAACTCAGGTTCCATTTCAATTATTGGGAACTGTAAGTGCTCAGCAGCTGTGAAAAGAGGCTCCTTCTATTTAGGTACATGAATATGGATTTAAGAGCTTTGCCTTTTGGAAAATGTGGTCCTGTGCTTGAACATCAGGCATTGACCTGGCCATCAAAGTGATGGCAATTGCGGGCACAAAAATGTGTCTGCAATTATTTGTGCTCACAATTTGTGGTACAAAAAGGATTGTCAGCTTTCGCAAGAATAGTTTTGAATATTGGACTTTTTAAGTATTTGGTGTGCAAACCTTGCACCGGCTAAGAAGGGGTAAGCAGACACACTGGGTCCAGGCAGTTCCATGCCACTATACCTGCAAAGCATGTGTGGCTTAATGGGTAGCTTTAATGGGGAGCAGGCCTACTGGGTAAAGTAGGCGACTGTGGAGATGAGCTGGCCTACATTCTGAACTCCTGAGAAAGAGTTCCACTGGAACTTCTGTGCCCTGATACCTTACTGTGGCATGGCTAAGTCCAAAAGGAAAAAGCTTGAGATCTGTAGATGATCTGACACTTTACCTTTGACTTCCACTTATCTGATGTCTTTATCCTCTGGAAAAGAGGGAATGGGCAGAAACTAACCCAGGGAACCAGCAGTATAGCACATTAGTGGTGCATCTACACAGCACCCTTTCCTCAAAATTGCGTAGCTTATTTTGAGGTAATTTTGTGGAATGAGGGTTACAGGGATGCCAGAATAGCGTGCCCGTTATTTTGAAATGTATGCAGAAATAGCTATTTCGGGATAATTCCGGTATCCTGATATAGCTCCACAGTGTAGATGTAGCCTAGTAATGTAGGGTGCAGTTGTCTACATTGGGCCCTGGATTGGAATCTGGTGGGGAAGGTGTACTTGGGTCCCCCTACGAAGGGCAAGCCGGCTGACAGGCGTGAAAAATGGGGCAACTACACTGGGGCCTGGTGAGTCTAAGGGGCCCAGGGCTCTTGACTGTTAAAATGTCACACGGCATGCTCTAGAAAGCACTGAGGGCTGGGAAAGAGGCTTGCTATGGTCCAGGTTGTGGCCCAACACTCTGGTCATCTGAAGAAGTGGGTTGTGCCCACGAAAGCTCATGATACCATCTACATGTTTTGTTAGTCTTTAAAGTGCTACCAGACCATTTGTTGTTTTTTAAGAATTCACAAGCAGTCATTTATAGTTATTGTATTACTGTATTGTGAAGTGAAATTAAAACTAGACTACAGTTTTTGAAAGAAATCAAAGAGGTAAATTTTAATGCTGACTTTATTTTATTTTTAGGCTCCAAATCAGGGCAATATCCCTATTTGACTTCAGTGAGATTTAAGTACATACAATATGTGCATACGTACTGCTTGCAATAGGGATGGACTTAAAACATATTTAAGTGCTTTTCTGAATTGTGAACCTTATTGTTCCCATTTACTTTGTTAGTTTGCAAAATTCATTAATATACAGGTAAATTATAAGCAGGGAGCCTAGTTTTTCACGATAAATCCCCTACATTTTCCAATAAAAAGTATAAACATCTACATTTTTCTGCTATTAAAATGAAAGGCTGAACTCAGTTTTCTAGCCACAATATATATATTGATATAAGTTAACACAGTGTCTTAGTGATATGGTAGAACCCCATTTACCTGAACCAACATTATCTGGCCTCCATATTAGCTGAAGCACCAGGATTTTGGGGTGACAGAGGCTAGGACTCTGGCTGTCAGTCCCAGGTGGCCAGGTTGTCAGCCCTAGACAGCTGGTGGTTTGGTTAATGTGGAGAGCTAGATCTGTGTTTCTCAAACTTTTTTTATAAAGCACCCCTTTACAAAAAAATAAATTATAAGTACCCCAGTACCTACAGTTTTCAGACACACAGGTTTTTTTTGTTCCATTGCAACACATTTGTTTAAACAACTTAATCGTAGTCAGACGGACGATGACATTTTTGGGTATAAAAAGTACAAAAATAAGAAAGTGCTGTAAAACTTAAAACAAAAATTCAATTTTCTCCAAATGTCAGTTGTGTTGACGATCCCCTCAGACTTCTCTCGAGTACCCCAAGGGTACTCGTACCACTGGTTGAGAAACACTAAGCTAGATAATGGAGCGGTACTCGTACCACTGGTTGAGAAACACTGAGCTAGATAATGGAGAACAGAGGCTAGGACTCTGGCTGTCAGTCCCAGGTGGCCAGGTTGTCAGCCCTAGACAGCTGGTGGTTTGGTTAATGTGGAGAGCTAGATCTGTGTTTCTCAAACTTTTTTTATAAAGCACCCCTTTACAAAAAAATAAATTATAAGTACCCCAGTACCTACAGTTTTCAGACACACAGGTTTTTTTTGTTCCATTGCAACACATTTGTTTAAACAACTTAATCGTAGTCAGACGGACGATGACATTTTTGGGTATAAAAAGTACAAAAATAAGAAAGTGCTGTAAAACTTAAAACAAAAATTCAATTTTCTCCAAATGTCAGTTGTGTTGACGATCCCCTCAGACTTCTCTCGAGTACCCCAAGGGTACTCGTACCACTGGTTGAGAAACACTAAGCTAGATAATGGAGCCTTGGATAAACAACATTCCATTGTAGGTATTTTTATTTATTCACCAAAATGTACAAACTAAAGATTCTTTGGCTTTAGGTTATTATTTTCAGTGATCTGAATGGCAATGCTGAGATCTCCTTTTTCATTTGAACGGTGAAACACTAAGGCCTACATTGACAAAGGTACTCAATTTAGTGACAGTTACTGACTCTAATTTCATCATTTTCTAGACACGGAAAGGTGACTGGATGGTGTAGTAGAAATGGGCTCGCTTGATTAATCTATTAGGTTTAAAATTTTGTTTTTTATGTAGTCCCCTTAAGGTTTTTTTAAAAAGAAAATTTCATAAGAAGAAAGTAGAGATGTAAATACCTTAGGAAGCTGGAAAAAGCAGCAATGAATGCATTGATGCAGATCCCACAATCAGCCAGTGCAACACTGAGAACCAGGAAGTTACTGGGAGTTCGGAGCTCTTTGATTTTGTGAAAAGAAATGATTGTCAAGCCATTCAGACAGAACCCAAGCAGAGCTGAAAAACATCATCATTTTGGCTAGAATCAACTGAAATGGGAAACACAATGAATACCACTGTTTTCTGTAATGAGACAGACATAATTGCTATGAAAATATATACACAATAAACAATTGGTGACCCATAAAGTATTCCCAGAGTCGTCAACACAAATAAGTAACAAAAGGGTTTTCAAGGGAAGAAGACATGGATGACAAAAGAAGCCATCTCCAGCGTCATTGGCATGATTGCTCGTATGAAGCACAAACAATTTTCATACATATTTCTGTATTTCACTCTTTCTTCTCTAAGAGCAGATTTTTGTAACCAGGTTCAACATAGAAATTCCTGAGCCAGAGATAAAGAGACAGTTTTAGGGGGACCAGCCATTGACAGACATATTGACAAACATAAAAGATCCTCAATTGTGCCTCACATTATATTTGGCTTCTCTCTAAGATTAACCTTGACAGAGCCTTAATTGTGTCAGCTCAATTTTGTTTATGCCTGTCCTCAATGGATTATATATGGAAAGGAATAATCTAATTTTAAAAAAGATCACTGGTGGATTTCAAAACCAAGCTATTCTGTTTCCTAAGAGGTTGGCTTCTGGACAAGCAAGACAATCGGAGCTATCAATCAGGAAAGATAGGTTACAACTTTCTTTGAAATCAATTCCTTACAAAGTTTAAACTCAGAAGTTGGATGCGGGCAAATCAAAGAGCTTTTTACTGCCCTCTCAAATTAGCTTGATTTTTTTTCTTACAATGATATGGTTGTTTCCTGACTTGACGCTGCTCGTATTAAAATTTCAAATAGCAGATGCCACCAAATGTAACTGAGACAATATATAGTAGACCTTTCTTTTTTCTTTCCTAAAGAGAAATGGAGCAGCACTTAAAAATCTGTATGGAATAACACTTAAAAATCCTTATTAACCTGACTCCTTAAAATAGTAAACTTTCACCAATTGTGTCACAGTGCTATTGTAGAGACTGGAGATTTCTGCATTGTAAGCAATCCCTGTTCTAGTTCAATTATCCTAATCAATGGTGGCATAAATTTACTAAAAGTAATCCTTAAATCTATATTCTGCTACAAATTAGATACAAAAATATTTCAGAAAAGAAATATATACAATGCTCTTTTGCTTGATCTATAACAATAGCCAGGGGAGAATTTGAATTCTCCTGCATCCCTCAGTTTTCCCCACAGCAGCTTACCTTCCACCAACAAGACAGTGCCAAAACCAACCATCTCTAATTCAGTGAAGCCTACAGGCAGAGGATGTGAAGTAACCATATTTGCAATGGTAACACTGACTAGCCCAAGGTTTATGTCTTTCAAGCAAAACTTGTCAGCTTTTTTCATGTATCAGAAGCCCAAAGCAGCTTTCTTCTTAATGGGCTAGTTCTGGTGCACACTCAGACACATGATGTTAAAAAAAAAAGCTTTGAGTTTTGAAACACTGCAATTCTGTCCAATTAGTGATGTGAATGAAAACAGACACATTCTCCATCCTTTCTGCTAAAGGGATTGGCAAACCGCAGCTCGGAAAAAAAAAGAGGGCTTCATTGCACTTACAACAACATCTTTGTAAAGATATTAACCCTTTCTTATTTAAAATTATGGAGTTTTATAACTGATTATACGCATTTCATTTTTTTCTCCAGGAAGACAATAACTGTAAAATAATACTTCAAGATACCTTAGTGACCTGTAAAGCAACCAAGGACTCAGTCTAAAACAGTGTACTGTATAAAAATTCTGAGGTATCACACCTTCATAGAATTGTAGGGCTAGAAGGGACGTTGAGAGGTCATCTAATCCAGTCCCCTGAATTCAAGGCAGGACTAAGTATTGCCTAGAGCATCCCAGACAGGTGTTTTTCTAACTTGCTCTTAAAAATCTCCAATGCCAGAGATTCCACAAGCCCCTTGAACAATTTATTCCAATGCTTAACCACCTTGATATTTAGGAAGCTTTTCCTAATGTCTAACCTAAACAGCCCTTGCTGCAATTTACACCCATTGCTTCTTTTCCTATCTTCAGAGATTAAACAAAACAACTTTTCTCCCCCCTCCTTGTAACAACTGCTTATAATTTCAAGACTGTTATAATGTCCCCTCACGGTCTTCTCCTTTCCAGTCTAAACAAATCCAGTTTTTTTTCAGTCTTCTCTTATAGGTCACGTTTTCTAAAACTTTAATAATTTTGTTGCTCTTCTTTGGACCTTCACCAATTTGTCAACATCTTTCCTGACACGTGGTGCTCAGAACTGGACACGATACTCTAGATGAGGCCTAATCAGCATGGAGTAGAGCAGAAGAATTACTATTTGTGTCTTGCTTACAACATTCTTGCTATTACATTAAAGAACTGTGTTTGCTTTTTTTTGCAACAGGGTTACACCGTTGATTCATATTTAACTTGTGATCCACTATGATCCTGAGATTCCTTTCTGCAGGCCCCTCTTTTCAGTTGTGTTTACTCTAATAAATGGTATCAGATTAGATCTTAATTTTTAAAAAATCTCCAGCATTTTAAAAGGTCTATTTGAAGGTGTATTTTCATAGAATTTGTATTTTGTTTGAGTTTCAGTCACAAAGTGGATTGCACGGAGTAATACAGACATACAGTATTCTCTTTCTGTATGTGTGTTTTATTACAGATTTATCACAAGAATGGTGAAAATGAATTTGCATTGCTGTGGAGAGCTCTGATTTATGCAGCATCTACCATGGTGAAACTTTCCCTCCTGTCTTCCTCTAGGGGTGAGTCCTCTGCAGCTACAGGGAGGGACAAGCATGTCTCCCTCTCTCTAAGAAACAATTCTTCACTTTCTGTAAGTAGGGTAAAGTTTAGGTAGTTTCGTTAGGCTATATTGTTTTAAGGGTTGGGTATGGGATCTGATACCTGGCACTGCTTAAGAGATGTTTGGCTTTTCTTTTTAACTAAGTTTTAGCCCATGGTGTAATTCCTCCATGAATATATTTTGCTAGCTGTCTACACTGGCTGTTTGAATTTCCGCAAGAACACTGACGATCTCATGTAAGATCGTCAGTGTTCTTGCGGAAATACTGTGCTGCTCCCGTTCGGGCAAAAGCCCTCTTGCGCAAATCATTTGTGCAAGAGGGCCAGTGTAAACAGCACAGTACTGTTTTCTGCAAAAAAGCCCCGATCGCGAAAATGGCGATCGGGGCTTTTTTGCGGAAAACTGCGTCTAGATTGGCCACGGACGCTTTTCCGCAAACAGTGCTATTGTGGAAAAGTATCCTGCCAATCTAGATGCGCTTTTCCGAAAATGCTTTTAACGGAAAAGTTTTCCGTTAAAAGCATTTCCAGAAAATCATGCCTGCGTAGACGTAGTCTACATGTTTTGTTAGTCTTTAAGGTGCTGAAGGACTATTTGTTTTATTTAAGTTTTTCATGGTGAAACCATTAATGGTATATAGATCAAATTGAAACCCTAGGTTGAAACCCACAGATTGAGGAACCAACTTTAGGCAATTTGTTAGATACATACGCATGTGTACTTACTACTATGGCAGTAGTTTAACTGTTAAAACTACTGACTTGTTAATTTAGCAACCATCTTAAGATAATTAAGGTGTTAACTTGGAATTGAAGAAAAAAATATAATAAATAGGGACAAGCAGTCACTGATAAAATAAGAGCTAACCCACATCTTTTCCCAGAACTGGAATCAAACACTTCTGAGGGGGGTCATGAAATATTTCTAATGTTTGTACATCCCTTCACTTTTTGGTTCAAAGCAGACTCCAAAACCTAATCCCTTGAGTGTACACAGAAAAGACTGAGAGAGTGCTAGCCAGAAGAGACCTGTCCTCTGAAACCCTATCACTGGAGCATGAGCAGAAAGCAAAGGCTACTGTAGGCCAGAAGAAAAAAACATGCATTCTGTCCCCTATTCCAGATTACAAAGTGCAGGAAGAATCCAGTCCTATGGTCAGGTTGGGTGGGTGGATATATTTCTGATTCAAAGGCAGGGGAACCTCATGGGTTTGACTGCTCTCTCTTTGCCAATACTTGCTTCTGGAATATTGGTTCCTTTTTTTCCTCCCCACATTCCCTGAGAATGGGCTACAAAACAAAGGATCTTTTTTCCTTGATGGCACTTATAGTTGGTCTCAGAATCTCAGACCCAGTGCACAGCTCTAGGAGGGAGATGAGAATGGGACCCAAAAGCGAGAGGCCTGCACAGCTGCCTGCTTTCCATGGGTTGAAGTTGGCTCCGAACAAGGCCAGCAGACAGCATTTGGGGATGCTCAGATGAATAGTTTTCAATGGACCCCAAAATACATATTGACTATTTACTTATGGTCAGAAGAAACTATACATGTTCTCATAGGAGCAGCCCAACAGAGCTTCTTGGCTAAGTTACATTAGTTGAGTCTGTTTTACCAGGAGTCCAGTTGCTAACAATGTTCCAGCTTTTGGGTCTCATGCAGCTATGCTTCTGTTCTCTACCAAAAAGCTATTCATTTCAATTACATCACATTCGTTTGAATCTATTGTAAGTTATAAGGCTAAATTTTGACTTCTCTGATTTTAAAATGTCCACCCGATCAAACAAAACATGAATACTAAATGTTAGCTTGGTATCCTGAACCAGTTCAGCAACCCTTCCCCAGGGAAAATTAAAATAACACTTAAAATCAATACAAAAAAACTAGCATTCCCTCTACCCATAGTTGATTTCTTCCTAAAAAGGCAAAATACAAGCACTGGCTCTCTAAGCAATGTAGTTACATGTACAGAAGAGTTCTGCTTTTCAAGCAACCTCCACCCCACCCATCCTCTTATTTTAATCACCAGAACTACTGATATGTAGCCATAGAAACCAGAGCCACCCTGAAGTCTATGTTGCTATATTGGAAATGCTTCTCTTTGCTCCAATTTTGTATTGTTTTTTGAAAACCCCCATTTTGCTAGACTTTCACAAATAACAATGGAGAAAGGATCTGATTCCTTAACACTCCCCCCTGCTTACCTTCCACCAGCAGGGCAGTGCCAATGCCAAACACCTCTAATTCAGTGAAGCCTTCAGGCAGAGGATATGAAGTGACCATACTTGCAATAATAATGCCACCTAGTTTGGGCTCTGTACCCCACCACCTAACAGTCTATCAGCCTTCTCCCTGGATTCCCCTTTACCAGTAACCCAAGTCAGCTTCCTTCTTAAAGGGCCAGTTCACGTGCAGACACATGCAAGTTATTATGTAAAAGCTTTGGGGTTTTAGTTGAACACTGCAATCCCTACAAGAATGCCATTAATGATGTGCATAAGAGCCCCCCCCTTCCACAAATCGTATTTGCAGACCTATTTGCAAAAGGAAATCATTCATTGCATTTACAACAAGGTCTTTGTAGAGACAGGATTAAGTACACTGTCCAGTTAATTCTGCAACACTGAAAAAGAATTAAATAGTCTGGAATGAAAGAATCAAATGCAATATATAATTGGGAAGTGAATTGAAAAACAAAGGGACAGTTATTGAATTTCTAATTAGGAAAAAACATACATGGGAATTCCTGGTGTGTATAGTTTTTCCCATTAAGTATTATTAAGAAATATGAAATGTATATTTTTGACAGCAGTGGCTCTAAATCTAATCCTTCCTCATCCTCTGCCCCCTTGTAACATGTTTTTAAATTCTATAGGATTACATTAAGATACATAACTATTCTAGAAAAAAAAGTATCTCACTGGCTCAGACCGAGTGAGGACAAGCACATGATAATTAATTCTTATAAACTAGGAACTCTATCTCGCAAACACACATTTGAGTCATTTTTTTTGAGTCTGTGGAGCTACTCACATGCATAACTTTATGCATGTATGAAGGTGTTTGCAAGAGTAGAGTCTTGGCATGATGGGCCAAACTTTGTGGAGTATGTGAAGCTTAAAAAGTGATTACCCTCTGCCTGACTCCTCTGCAATAATAAGTTATCCCACAGAGTCATTCCAGTAACTGCTCTTGTAGGCATTGTGCTGGTATTGGGAGTTCTGTCCTTTCAATTTCCTACTTGGTACAATTAACTGCTTAATATATTGCTTTGGAAAGTTGTGACACATACAATTGTCGTCACCCACTTTGATTGTTCTAGTGACACAAACAATAAGCATTTTTGAGACACTAACAGGCCAATATTTCCCTTTAGATTATGACCTTTGTAATGTTTCACAAACACATATGGAGGTCACCATTAAAGTCAATCACTTTGACATGTTACATGAGACACTGTCATTTTGCCCTATATTCGCACTAGGAAATAACTGATAATTGCTGAGTGATGTTTTTAATGGTGATCACTTTAGATGTTACATTTGTCTGCTCTTTTCTTTTCTTTTCTTTTCTTTTCTTTTCTTTTCTTTTCTTTTCTTTTCTTTTCTTTTCTTTTCTTTTCTTTTCTTTTCTTTTCTTTTCTTTTCTTTTCTTTTCTTTTCTTTTCTTTTCTTTTCTTTTCTTTTCTTTTCTTTTCTTTTC